AGAGAGAGAGAGAGAGAGAGAGAGATAGGGTTTTTACTCCTACGTATGGAGTATTTCCTTATTGTACTCAACATTTATTGAAAACTCATTACTCTTACTTTGTAATACAACATTTTTCAGGCAAGTGTATTTTTTGTTATTAAGAGGGGTAGAGTAGATAGTTTTGTAAGAAACTAGTGCCATTTTATTAGTAGTTTAAAAGCAATTAATACTTTATGTGGGTGATGTCATACAATATGTGGATGTTGTTCTTCTGCACTATAGTTAATAAATACTTTTCTTTGTATCAAAAATTTCTTCTTTACCCTTGATAAATGGTTTAAAATACCCATTGACAAAGAATATACTATATTGTGGGGTAAGGGTATCAAGTTTTGAAAAATGTTGAGTATATTAAGGAAATAATCCATGTGTAGGAGTACCCTAACAAAACCCTATATATGCATCTTTCTCCATCTTCTTATGCACAAGCCTTCACCATCTAAAGTTATTGTTTGCAAAATCCAGGGCTGACTTCCTTACTACTTACTGTTATGTCACTTGCTCAAACATCTTCTAACCCTAATTTGTTGAGCCTTTTGTATCCCATTGAACTGAGTTTTTTTTATGTGTTGAGGGGTTTGCTATCTAATCAAAAGTTTTATGGAGGAAACAAGAGTTTTCTCACTATTTTAGGGTTTTTGGAAAGGGCCACTTGTCTGTTATGCTATTGTGTTTAACTTTACTACGTGTAAAATATGCATTCTACAATATACTATATACTACCATAAGATAGATACCACAATGTTAGACTATACTACACTACTACACTGTACCCCACTGCTATATTATACTATACTTCCATGCTATTCTACCATGCTAAGGAATATGGATCTCTTGTAATTTTAAATCTCGATCCCAAGAATGCAGGAATGAAATTTTTGTGTGGAATTGACTCCACAGTTGGAAGATCCTTATGTCTATGATTTTTCTCAAGCCTTATGCCTCTATGACTAAAGTTTCTTGTATAAGAAATCTCAATTTTTGTGCTATTAGACGTATTTTTGGGCAAATATTTATAGATCTTGAATGTCTTTTGCTGATTTTTTTTACTTCAAGCGCAAAAAAAAAAAAAAAGCCTTTTGTCCTAGCTCCTTTTAGACCCCTTTTTTAGGTATTCATACAAGGAGTAACTTGACTTCTTAGGCACAAGCCTTCAACTGCTCTCCTTTTTTTTTTAATTGTTTTTGAAATAACATATGTATTAAAGGGGTTTGGTATCTAATATTCTAATTGGTATTTCAATGAAACATGAAGTTTTGCCCTGTTCAGGGTTTTTGAAAAATGTTTCTTGCCTTAAGCTCGACCATGTCAAACCCATAGTAGACCTGGTTTGTTTTGACCATTCCATTGCCCTCTAGAAGCTTTGGGATCACAAGAATTTTCTGGTTTGTGCGCTCCTATGATTTCTTATTGCTGCTCTATTTGCCACGTAGATGTTTGATGGATTGAAGTACATGTAGTCGAATTTGGACTCGGGACAAATGCCAATAGTCTGGAATTGGGATCGGACTGCAGGATTATGACAGGATTATGGTAGGGGTCACGGTCTATATACCCTGAAATCTAGGGATCTTAACCCCAATATGTGAGGGAGCTTGATCCAAGTTTAGTTAGGATTGATAAGTTGTACAAGAGCAAGCTCCATCTGGATGGAAATCGGGGCCTAATGAGAGCACTAACTAGTATATTAGTATGGTACACACTACTATTCCACACTGCTACACAGTAATATACTGCTTCATTGTACTCCAATAATGTGCTTTTTATTATATTCTACTATACCATACTTTATGTTCCTGTATTTAAATTTATTTTATACAACTTTTATAGTACAAATTATAGTATGTATTATACTCTACTATTCCACACTGCTAAACTATGCTATACTGCTGCACTACACTAGGATCCACACTGCTAAACTATGCTATACTGCTGCACTACACTAGGATCCACACTGCTATCTTATAGTTTATTGCTGTACTGTACTACAATGTTAAGGAATCCTTATCCCCTATAATTTAGGACCTCGATCCCTAATAGGAAGGATCGGGATACCACTCTAAAAAAACAGTGTAGTAGTGAGATTGCCTTCCATTGAGCAGAGCGGTGTTTTGGAGTGGAATCGTCCCCTTGGTTGTGTGATTTTGGTGACTATGGTTTTCCCCATGTCTAATGCATCATCTATGACTGACTTTTCTTGAATTTTAGATTTTTTGTTCTGATGATATTTCATTTTTGTGGCTGAGACCCATGTTTTGGGTACATCTTTCTTGACCAACATATTTTGGTGATATGTTTTGTTTTATTTTCAAGTGCTATAACCACTTACTGTCCTTGCTACTCATATTAGTTTGCAAACTACAGGCCTTACATCATCAATAAATATTTGCGTTGAAAACACTTAAAAAGGTCCATGAGTGAATTTTGACTGTATTTCACTCATGGCTCATCATTGTCTAAATTCCATCAAATAACCGATGATTATGTCAGCATTTGAAAGTATTTGTTTTCTACAAATTAGATTTACTAGAAATTTAGGGTGTGTACATAACCATCACACACCAAAATAAAATATCAAAAGAATAATTATAAAAAATAAAATAACCAAAATATCCTTGTAATATTTTTTGGTGTATTTGGTCATTTTATTATCGAAATTGACTTCATTTATTATTATTATTATTTTCACTTGCGCCTCACTTAGGCGTACACTCCCTCCAAATTTGAGGGTATCCATTTTGTGAAAAAAAATATGAAACTGTAATTTAAAAACTACTAGACAATCATGGCCATTCCATGAATTATTGACAATAATAAGCTACAAGCGAGTACTATCGCTCACGAGTGTCTTTGAATTATTCTCCCATGTACATGTAGTAGATTCAAGCTTTGGAGGTCAATAGAGAAGTGCCCACATATGGTGCATTCACCCTGCGTATGGGTATATGATGTGCTATTCTGTGGATAAAAGCTTTCTGCTCCAATTGTGATGAGTAATAAAACTGGTGTTTATGTGTTATGCATCCCGTGTTTGCAGGTGTCATCACGCATTTGCTGGCAATCGATGTCAAAACTGGTTCTCACTCGCAGCATACTTTTTATCTTGAGTCTTATTCCTTTAGCTTTCTTAATTTCAGACATACATCAAATTAAAGAGCGAAAGGAAAGAAGGGAGTGGAAGGATATTCGACACTTATGGTTAGGCTGAGAAGTCATGGTCATTGGATGTTAACTCTCTCTCTCTCTCTCTCTCTCTCTCTCGCTGTTTGTGCATGTACATACATGCATGTGTGTGATGTTTCTGAATAATAGAGGATTTTCTCTACTGATGTTTCAATCTGCTTATGATTCATCTCTAAATTAAACATGTATATAACTCTTATGCAATCTAAGCTTGTCAATGTGATGACTCCGGATGGTGAGCTTGGATGACTGAAAGAAAGTAGTCAGTTAAGCATTCATGGGGAAACCCACACTCTCTCTGCTAGCCCTGGGCAAGCTCCAACTCCATGAACTTCTACCCATAACTACCTGTGTAAACTCTTCTTAGTTCGTCATCAGCCTCAACAAACCACTCTACATGAAAATCCAAAACAAAAGAACCACCAAAAACAAACTCAACTAGTACCTAAAATCTATGGTGATAAATACCCACCTTTCAATCTCTCAAGAGGATGTTTAAAATCAACAACGAACCACTCTCGATTTGTACACGTTTATGGAGAAGCTAACAAGGAAGCACATGAATTGGCTAAAGAGGGTGTCTATGAGGAAGAGCTCCTGGTGAGTAGCTTTATTTTGATGATCTATCATTGGTAACTGGATTGTTCTAGATGTACTCTTCAATAGGGGTGGCAATGGACCCAGGACCTGAGGAGTAGACCCGATCAGGGTTCGGGTATGGGTACAAAAATTGGACCCAACGGGTTAGGTCTAGGTCTAAATCTTGAATGGGTACAAAAATTGAACCCAACGGGTTAGGTCCGTGTCTAAAACTTGAATCCGAACACTATTCGGATCCCCGGTCTTGGTCCAAGTCTGCATTAAAATCTTGGATCTGAACACTATTTGGATTCGGGTTTGGGTCTATGTCTTGTTCCAGATCCGGGTCTCACATTATATTTTTTGGTTCGAATCTCGGTCTGGTGATTTCAGGTTAGGGTCGGGGTTTGGGTCCTACTTTCCTCGATAAAAAAAAAGGGGAATACAACAACCAACTCAAGAACAAATAACCCAATAAATTCCCCACAGTTAGTTCTACTGAATGATGTCCTCTTTGGATCAAATGCGCTCCCATTTTAGCCCAAGCTCAATTAACATTACCAAAATTCACACCCATTACAAAGCAGGCGGTATCAGCAATTGTACTCCCGAAATACTCGTGGGAGGACATGAATTGCCGATCTCAAAATCTTCAGCGTGTAATATTCATTACTTTTTATCTTAATACAAAAGTTTCCTAGTCAAAAATTTCCATTACTTCTAGAAAGGAAATGTTGGAAAAAGTTTATATAAAGTTGCAATCTTAAAATGTAGAAATACAAATGCACTTAAAAAATGTTGTTTTAATGTTGAGAAATCCTCTAATAGATCATCTCGACATTGAGATATATGAATATGAAAAAAAAAAAAAAGATTATCAGTCTTTGAAATAGTGTATCTTGCAACACATTATCTAGACGGTCAATTTTCAATATTTCCATATGTTTATAGATCTACTTGATTTTAACTATTTTTTTAATTTAAAATTTTATACTTAGATATGAAAATAGATTTTCAAATAATCTTAAGAAATTTTTGCATCAAAATTGCATGTTATGATAAAATTTATAGGTGCACCTTAATTGGATTGTTTGAGGTTGCAACCTTATAGAAACCACACCCTTTTTTCTTTTCTTTTAGTGTAGACACCTTTTTCTACATCCATCTTAGCGATGGACATTGATGCGTAAGGTAACTTACAAATTTTGGTGAGTCGGCCTGACTCACGATAATTGGATTTATGTGAGAGACTCCCTCTAAGAAAGCATTCTCTACGATAGCTTTCTCTTAGAAAACTTTGTACGACAAAAGTGAATTTTGAATATTCAGACTTTTGGAAATGCGAATAAAGGCATTTTTTGCTTTTTATATATGTGGATTACAAATTATCCATATGTATATAAAGAGAAAAGGGATCTAAAAGGTTGTGTTTTCAATTTTTTTTTTTTAATTTATTTATTTATGATTGTTCGTTATAATAAAAAGAATATGTATTTCAAAATTGGTGTTAAAACTATAGAAATGAAATCACTTCTTGCATTTCAAAAATTTTAGAGATTTGAACCTTGATTCTTTCATTGACAAAACTAGAATTTATTGGTCTTTTCTTCCTTACCAGGCACATATTTTATTTATATCACATATTTTATTTATATTTGGTTTGTACTCTTGCTCAACATTAAAGATGGCCAACAATTATCAAAACTAATCTGTCAATAATTTATGAAAATCCAAACCCCATGGATGACAGCGAGAGATGGAGGGGATTAATTATGTAAAAAGTTTATATAGAGCTAAGGCTCTAAACAATCAAATTAGAGCCCACCTCAAAAATTTCACTAGAAGAGGTTGTTTTGATGCTCAAATATCCTAAAATTGATTATCTCGATATCAAGATGCATGGACATGAGAAAACAGTGGATTTCAAGTTTTGGAAATACTGCATTTTCTAACATATTTTTAGACCATCAATTTTCAATATTTTCAAGTTTTCATAGATTTGCTCGATCTACACTATTTTTTAAGCTTTAAATTTTATAATTAAAGAGAAAAATATATTTTAAGGATATCACAAAGATTTTTTTTAGTATCAAAACCATATTTCTCGATACTATTTGAAGGTAGGTTCTAATTTGATTGTTTAGAGCCTCGACTCTATACAAACTGCACCTTTATATTATTATAAAAAAGTAATTACATTATTGCTTGATTGCACATAAATATGAGTTCACATGTACTTTTTACACTTTCATTTTAATTCACATGACTTACAATAGTGATATTCAACTTTGGTGCACAAGCTGCTCTTGATGGCCTAGATCTAATTATGAGCGAATTTTTACAGTATTTCACTCATGGTTCACCTCCATCTAAAGTCCATTAAACAGTCACGATTGTTTGATAATGTTTGAATTTGAAGATTTTTACTATAAATCAGATTGACCTAAAAGTTTGTGGATATATGCGCCTTAGTGAGGCGCACCTAAATAAAATATAAAAAGAGAAAGTATATAATGAAACCATTTACCTTTGCTACAAAGTGGTCACAATAAATCTTGACCATTGGATGTGAAATTGTGTGGCTACATTTATTTTATTGACCAAGTTCAAAGTTCAAAAGATTTTTCCTCAAACTTGGTGACACACACATGCTATCAGATTTCACATCGAATGGTTGTAAGTAATTGTGACCTCCATATTTTAAAAGTAAATGGTCTCATTGTATACACTCCCATATAAAAGATAATCCAAATTAAAGTGATCAAATTACCCTATAAATACTTCAGGGGTATTTTCATCATTTTATTTTTTTTGAGAATCAGTTTTTCAATATTTTATTTAAGTGCAATTTAGAATGTACATATGCTCTAAATTTCATATCAATTTAATTTGTAGAAAAACTATTAAAATTTAAATCCCCTTAGATAATTATGACTGTATGATGGATTTTAGATAGTGATGAGCCATGAGCAAAACATTGTTAGAAATTTGCTCGTGAGTATTTGTAAATGTTTTCCAAGAT